TTATTTACAATGTTAAAGGAAGAGAGAATCGGAGAAGTATTTTGAAAGTCCTTAGGAAAACCCTAGTAGGGCTCAAAATCACACTGATAATGTTTATGGGGATAAAAGAGAGAAGGAAACCTGTACTTACAGTTTGATTTGGTTGTGTATTATATACATATATACATGTATGATACATTTTCTTTCACCAATTTATCAGGGTATTATTTCCTCTCCAACATATATTAAAGATGCCCCAGTATGGATAATAGCAAAAAAGAACTTAGATTTACTATTATGCACTAGTCTTTGTTATAGGCACAAATTATTTCATTAAAGCCTCATAACATCCTGCAAGACAGATATTAATATTCTTATTTACATACAAGGAAACAGGCTGAAAGTACCCTGCCCAAAGCAAACAATTTGTAAGTGAAGAAGCTGGATTCCAACCCATATTCTTTTCTTTTTTCCTATTGTTAGTAGAGATGGGGTCTTGCTCTTGTTCAGGCTGGTCTCAAACTCCTGAGCTCAAGGGATCCTCTTGCCTTGATCCATATTCTTTTCTATAGATACCTCTGTAGGGACAAGAAACTTTGAACAGGGAAAAGCTGATAAAAGTCTATGTAACTGAAGACTCACAAATAATGCTATGAAATGTTAGAACAAAAGAAAACAACAGTCACTTACCCAGTATATCTTTATGAGTGTAAAAGCGTGTTTTAAATGGCTTGTACTCATGAATCCGTTGGAAAGTTTTTTCCAAAGGGGCTGGTGGTATTATTTTATTACAAACAGCGCAGCAGACAAAGTTTGTGTAATTGGAATTTCTGATCATAGTTAAATTCCAGATGTCTTCTATCATTTATAGTTGAAATAATATTAGGATCAGAAAAAGTTTTAAGAAAAAATGGAAGTTTAAGAAGGCAGGACCGAATTCAGGAATTGAGGCCAGCACTGAAGACTGGTGGGGTTTGAGGTGTGCACCATGACCAGGCAGCGGTGCTGCTGGCGTTATGGGCAGCACCAGCAGCCCTGCCACAGGAGTTCCTAGCACTGGGTTGGGCAGGTTGAGCAGCTGCTCCTGCCCAGACTCTACCTTGAAGTTAAATTACTTAGCAACTGTTGCCAGGTAAGACAAGCTTTGCTCATAAAAGCAACCTGCAATAATAACAAAAGGGAGCACCAGGAGCTCACTTTCCTGACACTTCCTTCATTGGTTTTCTATTGCTACTAACTTACTGTTTCCTGTTGTTAATAACAGAATATCTGAAATTGGGTAATTAATATTTATATCTTACAGTTACGAAGGGTGGAAAACCCAAGGTCCAGGGGCTGCCCTGGTGAGACCCTTTTTGCTGTATAGGCTCATCCTGGCCAGGCCAGAGCGCATTCAGCCAGGTCAGGCCTCTCCTCTGCTTCTTAGGGAACTGCCCCCCACATCTGTAACCCTGATTCACATAGTTCAATCCTCTCCTGAGGGCATAATCTAATCATCACTTGAGGCCTCACCTACCAATACTGTCACACTGGGATTAACTTTCAACATGAGTTTTGGAGGAGATAAATATTCAAACCACAGCACTACTGTAACAAATTAACATAAACCTCGTGGTTTAAATATGACCCAAATTTATTCTCTTGCATTTCTGAGATGAGAAGTCTAAAATGAGTCTTATGGGGCTAAAAATCAAGATGTTAGCAGGGCTGGTTCCTTCTGGACACATTAGGGGACAATCTGTTTCCCTGTCTTTCCAGCTTCTAAAGGCTGTCTGTGTTCCTGGACTCATAGCCTTCATCATACAGCCTTTTCTCCTGTTGTCATAGTGACATCTTCTCTTCCTCTTATCTTCTGCCTTGATTTAAGAACCTCTGTGATGGTGCTGGACACAGGGGCTCCTACCTGTAATGCCAGCACTTTGGGAGGCCAAGGTGGGTGGATCACCTGAGCTCACAAGTTCAAGACCAGACTGAGCTACAGTGACCCATCTCTAAAAATAGCTGGGCAGTGTGGCAGGCGACTGTAGATCCAGCTACTTAGGAAGCTGTGGCAAGAGAATTGCTTGAGCCCAAGAATTTGAGGTTGCTGTGAGCTATGATGCCATGGCAGTCTATGCAGGGTGACAAAGTGAGGCTCTGTGTCTCAAAAACAAAAAACCATAAACCTGAAAACTGGGTGTGCCTGTAGCTCAGCAGGTAGGGCACCGGCCCCATATACCTATGTGCAGACACTGCCTTGCTGTCCCGTGTGGCCAGCAGTTGCACCTAAGACCCTGCACACACCAAGGCTCAGCCTGGGGCATTCTCATCCATGTCATTCTGCTTAGGTTGATTCATTAACCCGTTTTCTTATCCCCTTTTCTCTTGATGTTAAAATTATGGGGTTTGGGCAGCGCCTGTGGCTCAGGGAGTAGGGCACCAGCCCCATATGCCAAAGGTGGCAGGTTCAAAGGGTGGGAGGTTTGAACCCAGCCCCCCCAAAATAGCCAGGCATTGTGGCAGACATCTGTAGTCCCAGCTACTCAGTAGGCTGAGGCAAGAGAATCAGCTAAGCCCAAGAGCTGGAGGTTGCTGTGAGCTGTGACACCATGGCACCTACGAAGGGTGATAAAATGAGACTCTGTCTCTTAAAAAAACCTGAAAACTGAAATCCTGAATTCCCCCAGTGCCTGGTAAACTGGAAGAGTTGGTCCCCCTAGGGAAGAAAAGGTTGTAAAATCAATTACTTCTCTTTTTTAGGAAATTCTTGAAAAGCAATTTACCAATTGAACAACTTGCTGATCTAGGCAAATAGTTCTTCTATCAGAATATTAGATTACTCCCCTGGGCAAAAAGGTCACTTACTGTTTATTAAGCAATACTTTACTTATCAAGACTGGCTTCAAAGACCTAACCTTTTACATCGAGAACTTTGTTCAATCTCCAGCAAATTTCTATGTTGATATTATTTAATCACTTGAACTCAGTCTCCAAAACACTATAAATATCTTCCCCAACCATCTTCTTCTTAAATACAAGTAACTTTGTAAAAACACCATTTCCCTTTAGTGTAGTAGGTTTAATAAACTTAATTTTGTTTCATCAATAGGTTGTTCTGATGATCTTTTTTGGGGGGGGGGTGGCAGTTAACAAACTTTACATAGTTTTGTTTCAAAATACATTAGTGTTTCTATACTTAAAACCTAAACATTTTGATTATAAGAGTTAATGTGGCTGCTTAATTATGTGAACATTTACATCTGTGTAGAGTATCCTTGACTTAAGTGGCCACATCTTAGAAAAAGACTCCATCTTATGTTTCAAAAGACATTGTGCCAGCAGAGACCTATGTTTACCAGATCAATATAGACTACACCCAACCAGACAAGAGCACGATCCTTTACTATCAGTCCTTAGCAGAGGCCTCAAGGGCCATAAAAAGAGCAGAACTTCATCGGCTAGATGTGGCCATCTGTGCGGACACTGCCTTGCTGTCCTGTGTGGCCAGCAGCTGCATCTAAGACCCTGCACACATCAAGGCTCAGCCTGGGGCATTCTTCTCATCCATGTCATTCTGCTTAGGTTGGTTCATTAACCTGTTTTCCTATCCCCTTTTCTCTTGATGTTAAAATTATGGTGTTTGGGCAGTGCCTGTGGCTCAGGGAGTAGGGCACCAGCCCCATATGCCAAAGGTGGCAGGTTCAAGCCTGGCCTTGGCCAAACTGCAACAGTAACAAAATAAAAATAAAATAAAATAAAGTTATGGGGTTTGATGTGGAAATGCTAATCTATAACATTCACATTTTGATTACATGTGCTATTGCAATAACCAAGCCCCTAGACCTTGACCCCCTCCCTAAGACCAGTAGAGAACAAGGCCCCTACCCTAGAAAAAGAAACCTCTCCTAAGCCTTTTAGTTCCTGCCCTCTCAAGGGTAGAGAACAGTCTGAAATTGAGGAAGTATGCAGGGAGGGGTTGAGGAAGGGAAGGTTGGATTCCAAATAAAGCCCCGGATAAAAAGGTCCCAAGTTGTTCTTGGAAATTTATCCAACACTTGTTTTGTACCCCTGAATTATGAACTAATGTACCCTAAGTAAACATGTACCTCTACCCTGAATTGTGTAAACCCCTATGACATACCCCATCTTATAATCATGAAGTAATGTACTTGTGATATATCTTGTGATATATGAATCAATATGGGGTTACTCTAGACTGGCGTTTCATGTTGCCAGGATTTTTCTGCTGATTCTTCTTCATGAGTGCTTTCTTATATCTGTTTCCTTACCCTAATTTTCCTTTCACTTCTTCTTATTCTAAGTTACTATGTTACTGGCCTAAAATTTTAATGAGTCCTTTTGGTACAAGACCAGAAGGATGAGAAGATTGAGGATAAGAAGGGAAAAAAAATATTTAAAAAGAAAAAGACAGAGAGAGAGAGAGAGAGAGAGAAGAGGGGGGTGAGTCAAAGGAAATATTAACAAAGAAAGAAAGACAGCAAAAGAAAAAGACAAGAATAGTAAAGGTGTATAGTAGGGTATTATGACCCACCCTTAAGGACCCCAAACTCTAGGGGTTCCAAGTTAGGTGATTACCTTAAGATCAACAGCTCTGTGCCAGCTGGCTCAGACACAGTACCCCACCTCCACCAGGTAGAAAGGAGAGACCAAAATGCTATAAATCAAACCATAACAAAAAATAAAAACCCCTAGTAGGATAAAGTTGAGAAGTTAAAAAAAAAAAAAATAGGGGCAGAAACAATGACAAAAATAAAATTCTAATTGTTAAAGAAGGAAAAAATGGAAGGTTGTACATAGACTAGAGAAAGTGTCAAAAAAAAAAAAAAAAAAAGACCAAAAAAGCAAAAACCCCAAAACCAAAACCAAAAACAAACAATATATATTATCTTGGTAAATACTGTCCGGGCAACAGGTGATCTTCTGAGGAGTGAGAAGTTAATCCCAAAGTTGATACAGCTGTACAAGATGGAAACTAGAGGCCTTAACTGGTTTCACAGATCCCACAG